CTTTTTAACCGTTTTTGACATGTTTTCAGTTGATTGGTTCGACATGTTTGAGACAAGAAACAGTTCGAGGGGTTGACTTAATGATCATCCGGGAGCTTACTGGCGGTAAGTCAGTCAGTATTCGTGAATCGTGAAATCGAAAGTTGCTTTGTGTTTTTTTTTTTCCATTTTGGTTACAAAGATTGTGAATTTTTTTTTGGTCAAACAAAAATAGGTATTTACAATGGAAATCCTCGAGGTTTTACCACAAATGAAAAAGGTGAAGAAGTTGGGTTTACCACAGAGTCATATTCTACAAGTGAGGTATCATGTTTTTTTTTTTTTTTTGCATTTACAAAATTTAATAAGTTTCTTCTGAGAAAAAGTAGTTTCATTAAGTTTGTCTTTAAACTGTTTTCTGATTATGCTTTAGGTTGATCATATTGCTCGCGTTGCATTTGAGATTGCTAAGCAACGGCGTGGTAAGCTTTGCTCGGTTGACAAGGCTGCCATCTTGGAGGTATAGTTATAACCTAAAGTTGTTGAAGATTTCTTGAATTTGGTAATTCTTGAATTGATATTTTTGTGCGTGTTAGATCCAAGATTCAATATTGTTTCTTGTTGAACCATATAGGGATCAATGGTGTGGCGGAAACACGTAACAAAAATGGCCTCAGAATATCCTGAAGTTGAGGTGACTCATCTGCTTATCGACACTGCGGCAATGGATCTTATTCGCCATCCACAACAGGTTTTTATAGCCAATCCCTTAGGTCTTTGACTGGTGAAATGATTATTACAAAATTGGATCATTATTAATTAGTAGTAACAAATTTTGTGATGTTTCAGTTCGATATCATTTTGACTGGGGTCATGTTTGGTGATATTCTCTCTGATCTCGCGGCCGTGATCCCCGGAAGTGTAGGATTGCTTCCATCTGCTTCCCTCGGTGATTCAGTAAGTACCATCATTCAAATCAAAACAGTTTCTTGATTATCTTGAAAATAGATTTTATTGCTTTTCTCATATTATGATATGGATACAGGGTCCTGGAATATTTGAACCCGTCCACGGATCTGCACCGAAACACTATGGAAAGGTTGTTGTAACATCATTGTACATACATACCATTTTCGCCAATCATGATGATGTGTATAATAAATATGTCGAAATTGGTGAAATTTTTACAATGGTTTGAGGTAATTTTTGCAGGACACGGCGAATCCATTGGCCTCTATTTTATCGGCAGTTATGCTTTTGAGATACGGACTGAAAGAAGAAAAGGCTGCAAAGAGGTTAGAAGAAGCAGTTTTCGATGTTCTTGATCGCGGATTCAGAACGCGTGATATCCACACTACTGGAACTGTAAGTAACCATCAAAAAAGTTATAAATTTTACATGTCACAATTTCAAAAATTTGATAAGCAAGTTGGTTCGTTATTTTTCACAGATATTGGTGGGTTGCAAGAGAATGGGTAAGGAGATACTAGCATCTCTGAATGCTAGAGTCTTTGCTACAAATGGATATATGAAGACAGCAACGAATGGTTTAGCTGCAAAAGTTTAATAAAGTATAGTTTAAAGTGTGATATTGAAATAAATCCCATGTTTGTTATTTTGGAGATACAAAAACAGCTGCGAGTC